AGCCTTCCTCCGCCCGATCGGGCGAGGTCCGCCCGGTCAGACCGGGCAAAGCTCAAGAACGCGTATTTTCTTATTTTTCCGAAATATTATCTTTTGGGGGTATAAATACCCTTTTGTAATTAACTTTTAGACAGTTAGTTTTTCATTAGTTTTCTCCTTAAGCCCTAGAAAACTCTCAAGAACCCTAGTTTTATTTTCTTAAGCAATTTCAATCTTTAATCCTAGTTTTATTAATTGTTCCTCAAGAATTCAAGATCATCAATTGAAGTATTTGGTATTTCTTACTTTCCATCTCTTTTATTTATTTTATAGTTCTTTAATTATGTGTTCTCTATTAGATCTTGTTTTTGATTTAATTATGATTTGTGAGTAGTTTCCTTAATCCGGGATCTTGCTAAGCCCGATTATGATTGATGTATAAAGTAGATCTTTAAATTCCCCAATAATAATCCCAATTGACATGCTTAATTGATTGTGTTTATGCCAATACTAGATTAGGGATAATTAGTATTGTTATCATCCCTTTGTTCTTATTGCAACGGGAGTTGGGTATTAACGGGATTAGGTTATTTCAATTAAGGGTTTGAAGATCATCACGGAAGTAGATGATTGAATAATTAGGAATCTAGGCATGGTGTTTAATGTCCCTTATTCGCTTGATTCCACGGAAGTAGGCTTGATAGTTAATTTGGGAAGCCATTGATAACTCGGAAGAGACCTTTGGTATTATTATTAGGGATTGCTTTTCTTCTTGTCAATTGATTTATATATTGGGGGTAGATTTATTAGTTTATCAATCATAATCGTGGTGATGCTTGATCTTGGATGCTTTAGTTTATTGATTAATATTTCCTCTAGTTAATTGTGTTATTTAATAAATTAGTTGATTATTATCATCCATTATTGATTGGTCACGTGCTTAGTGATTAATTGAGTCTGATTAATTGAATGAACCATAGTCTCTTGGGATTCGATCCTTACTTGCCCTACTACACAGTTAGAAGGAATAGTTAGGTTATTTTTGTTAGGTACGCGATAAGCCTATCAACAAGCCTCAAGTACTCGTGCAACCTCTTCGGCTGTGCGGGCAGCTTCAGCTTCCTCGTTCAGCAGCTGAAACCAAGGGTCTCTCTTCTTCCACCAAGGCTTCTGCCTCTGATACAGAGCAACAGCCTCAATTTGGAAGTGGGAAGAGTCCAGATGAACTTCCCTATGCCTCGGCTCAGTGATAGACGGGGCCCGTTCAGTTACAACTCGCTCTCGGTTAACACCAAGACGAGCGTAGTTAATACCAACGTTGGTCTCGTCCCGCTCTGAAAAAAGGAAAGGGAAAAAGTTTAGCTCAGATATGTTGGCACAACATAAAAAAGCAAAGCGAGAGAAGAAAAAGAGGTAGTTAAAAGCCTCGGCCCCAGCCGAAGAAGCTTACCATCCTTAAAACTTTCGGCTGAGGCCAACAGCTGCTAGCATATTCTCTTGGAAAACGTAATGCGTATCGGGGAGCCAAGTCTCCGGGATATGCTGCATTCGACCACTCCCCCCCGGGTTCGGCAGCTTGCCGAAGATATGTTGCTGATCCAGGTTCGGATCCGCCCCGTTATCTGCGGGGGGACCTAAACTTCCCATTTCGGGATCAGGCTCAGCTAAGTACCGGGGAGCGCTGAAGACGCAAGGGTGGCCCGGATCTATGGGTGCCCTAACCCAAATCCATTGACCTCTCCAGTCCTTGTCTGAAGAGTCATTTGGCCACATGGTCAAGTATTGGGGCCGGGACTCAATCCGATACCACCCAGAACCATGGCTTCCGTGCCCACTCTGAATATTTGGCACTAGCCGATGGAGCTTTCTGAAGCAGTGCAGGTTCGGCACGTATCTGAAGAACTTGCAGACCCATAAGTATGTCATCACCCTTCGGATGCTGGTGGGGGTTAGCTGACATAGGGAAATGTTGTAATGGAGCAGCAAGTCTCGGACGAAAACGTCCAAAGGGAACCTCAGCCCATACTGAAGCTGTCTCGTGTACACCCCCACATACCCCGGGGGTGGACGATGGATTCTATCGGATGCTGAGGGCATTCGGCACCAATATCCATCAGCTTCAAAAATGCCGTAGTGCAACTCAATTTGCTCGGAAAATCGATATTGATCGGCGTTCTCTACCCACCATGAGTAGGGGCGGTTCTTTATCATGGCCGAAGCGACTTCGGCATTCTCCCACTCTGAAAACCCAGGGAGGATATCCCAAAGGACAGCGGGAATTTCATCGTCCCGTCCAGAAGCACTCGGCTCATCCGTTCTTTGAGGAGGAGCCGAGGAAAGGGGAGTCGCCCTAATCCCATCAGCAGGGTCAGACTCCGGCCTTCGACCATTCCAGGTCCCAATCCTATTCCTAGGATCGGGAATCGGCCTTGCTCTTCTTGGAGCACGGGCTCTACCTCTAACTCCTCTTGCCATGGACTATTTCGAAGAGAAAAGTCGAAAGAAGAGGGGAAGGAGTTCGAATTCGAAGAAAAATAAACTGAAATCAAAGGAATTTACCTAATCTGAAGCGAAAGTTGCCGATTTACGAGTTCGTAGTGGCAAGTCTCAGCTTCTAAGCTCAATGCTCGGGGGAATTTGCGAAGTTTTGATACGGATTCTTGGATTCTCTCTCGAAGAATTCTGGGTTTGTGTTGGTGAATCAGTGAGGAGAATGACGCGCCTCTGTTTATATCTCCAGGTACGGGATACGAAGAGTCTGTGCTTTAATTTCTCTTAAGTACCCACTAAGTAACCATTAAACACATGTCTTGTGATTAAACCGCCCATTATCCGTCCAACTTCCGCAAATCATTAACCGTTGTTATCTCATTAATTACGGTTTAAATTCAAATTTTTGGATCAATTAAATCATTTACTTCCCTCCTTTTCTGAGTTAAATCAAACCCGACCCGTCATTCTTCCGAATCGGGTCTGGGGGGCAAGTTGTTTGGGTCCAATTTAGTCAAAATTGGGCCTGAGCACTAAATGATCCAATTAAAAGCCCAAGGTCAAGGTTCAACTCTCCAATTGCTCAAAAGTCAAAAGTCAGCCCACAAAGTAAGCCAATTGGGCTAAAGCCCAACCTCTCCAAATATGATGAGGTATAAAAGCCCTCATATTAACACATTCAAGGAGAGAGTCATATTCTTACATAAGACATCTCATAACATCGTATACACTATCAGACACAACAACACATGCATCATCACATACATTATCTCATACACGGATTATTCCAACTCATATGCTCATTCTTGCATTGAGAAATACTCCACAAAAGCCTCAAGCTACAAACTCTCTTGCATAGTGTCTTCCTTTTTACACATTGTACTGACTTTAGCATCGGAGGGGCCTTCCTCGGAAACACCCCCGAGGCTAGTTTACGTGTGTTCACTGTGCAGGAAACCTTCGGCCCAACACAGCTTGGATCGAATCCAGTCTTCTCCATTTTAGTGGACCTTCGGCAAGGTCCCATTGTTTTCAACCGAAACACTTTATATTAAAACATTTCCTATTGAGAAGTGATCAAAAGTTTCCTTGATCCTTTGAATGTATGTTTACTAGAAGATGTGTGGCTTCTTGATGACTTCATGGTAGAAAGAGATGATGGTGCATTTCTTGAACTCTTGTTCGAGTTTATTGTAGAACCTTTGCTTGATGATTTACGCCTTGCTGATTTCTTAGAAGATTTTCTAGATACTTTGCTTCGAGATTTTTTTAGAAGATTGTTTTGATGCTTGTTTTGAAGTGTTTCTTGTGGATGTTTTTGAAGTTTCCCTTGATCCGTGTCTTGTAGAACTTTTAGAAGATTTTTCAGAAGATTGTTTAGATGTTTCACTTGAAGATTTTTGAGACGATTCCTTGGACGCACGAGTTGATGAAATCTTGGTTGAGTTCTTTTTAGAAAATTGAGATGATGTGTGGTTAAAGTACATCCCGGGATAGTTACCAAATGAAGAGTGGTTGCGACTAGAGTTATTGTTGGCTGCTTCCAACGACGGTATACTGATTGGTAATTGGTTAAATTCGCGACTTAAATTACTAAAACGTAGATCAGAGGTTTCGTTCAAGGGAGGTCCAAATGTTTTGCCCAAAGATATATTCAAAGGTTGATTGAGTCCTTCGCTTTTAGTATTTCCAAAAGGTAGGTTTTCATATGTGTTGCTCAAAGGTGTTAAAGGATGATCATCGACTGAAGACATGTTAAACTTTTGGTTGAATTCAGATGTTTTTTCTTCTGACTTTTTCTCCAAAGATTTTGGAAAAGATTGATTGGAATCTTTGCTTATAGACTTTCCAAATGGTTGCCCCGAACCTTGCTGCCCTGAAATTTTGACCAAAAAAGATTAAACCATGTTGTACTTCGTATATATTTTCTCAATTAATGTAAATATTATTGACAAAATTTTATCTCAAGTCTTAAGCATCATATCGAAATAAAGCATTACTAAAATAAGCGAATTGGCATCCATGCATAATCATACACAAGGATATGTTATGACATTTTAACTTGCCATGAGCGAGTGTGAACTTTACCACTTCCATAGTTCCACCATATATATACTTTTTCATTTGTAGAAAAAATGGCATAAAACAAAAAAAAGATGAACGGTAATTTATTATTATTATTTTTCAAAAAAATGTATGTATATATTGTACAAGTTTTTGGGTTACTAAAATGCTATTCCCTCCATTCTCAAAAGAAAGTTATGGTTGGTGATTTTACACGATCAATAAGAAAGATGAGATAGGGGAGAACAATGCTAGATGTCACATGCATCAAATAGTTATTAAGGGTAGGTAAATATTGTTATAACAAAGATAATTGCATGGAAAGTATATATGTATGAGGGAAATATTTAGAAAAATAAATATTATTTTAATTGAAAAAATAATTAAAACGTATCATTAAAGGAGAATACATAAAATAATAAACGTAACCTTCTTTTAAGAATAGAAGAAGTATTTAAATTTATGCTTTAACCTTTCTTATCCGGGGCATTTGTTAGACCCATGCCAAATCCTCCGAAAGCAGCTCCAGGGGCTAATGATTTTCCTCCAACACCCCCTCCTGCAATTACACCTCCTATTAAATGTGCTTCACTTGTTATTATTGCTATCTGCAAAAATTAAAATTAAATCATTAAAATTAGGTATATATATGTGTACGTATAAAATCATTCCATTTCGAATAAGGAGAAAATATTATGTATTCTATAATTATCTTACATAGAAAGTATTATTTTCGTATAAAATGAAGAAATAATAATTATGTTTTACATGGAGAAGTGCGAATATGTTTAAGCTGTGTGATCCCATCGAAAGTAATAAGAATAACTAGATACTTCAATTTTGATAGAGTGAGTAAGAAAGGCGGTTTTTTTGTTCTTTATTTGTTTTTTTTTTCCTCTTTTAGGAGAAATTTGGAACGGTATTAGTAGTAAATAGGAAGAAATTAAAGAAAAAAAGGGCAATGAGAGTATTTATACAATTATCCAAGTTTATTAATTGGAGAGAGAAATTATCTCCGCCCTTAGTATATTATTGACATTAATGCAATGGCCTATAGTTTTGATAGATTTTGTTCCACAAAAATGTAACTGTACTTGTTCTCTTTTCTAAATTAAACATACTATATATAGTAGGTATATATATGCATGGAAGGAGTTAAGAGGCTAGTAGAGAGCATAAGAAAAAATTTACTATTTTAGGGAATAATTAATTGAAGAAAAAAATTGCAATGGAAATCAACATAATATTTTTTCAGGCAATTAAAAACATACTCCGTATAATTTTGTTTTTTAAAAATATTATAAAGGAAAATTGGCTTACAATAATACCAACTATTCAACGGTGTGTGCAAAATAATACGAATTTTACTATTTGCTATTAGCAATACCACCTTTTGCACTATATGTGCAAAATAATACACCAGTCACCAGTCAAAATCGCGATCCGGATCGTAGGATCGTGCGATCCTACGATCCCATTTTAGTCAAACAATTCGGATCGGATGCAGAATCGCAGAGTAAGCAGGATCGTTGTAGGATCATACAGGATCGGTCAGGATCGTACAGGATCGGGTGGGATCGGACGATCCTATTTTTCACTTAAAACTATTATTGGATTGTACAGGATCGATCAGGATCGGACATAATCGTGCAGGATCGGTCAGAATCGAGTAGGATTGGTCAAGATCGTACGATCTTACTTTTTACTTATTAAAATGAGCCTAAAGTAATCAAACTTTTCTCTAAGCTAAGAGAATTACTATCCAACTATTAAAACTATAAATTTTACCATTTTTATGGCATAAAAATTGTTATCTAATTATGTAACAACCCTTTTATTACTATTTTTTATCAAATTTGTAGAATCTTACGATTCCACGATCCGATTTCACCGATTCGATCCTACTCCTCTCACCGATCCAAAGTAGGATCCCGATCCTGATAACATTGGGTACCGCTATTAGCAAATTGTTGAGTTTGTATTATTTTTCATACACCGTTAATATATAATTGGAATTATTTTATGCCAATTTTTCTATTATACAAGAAAATGACTCCATGTAAGCTCAGTGTACAAAATTATTTTGTACACCACCAATTAAATTATGCAAGTAAGTCCAACTAAGTAAACGAGGGAACCGAAATTTTAGTGGGGAAGATTAAGAGGCAAAATTTTCACCACCTTTCGGAACAATGCAACATCCTTGGCAGCGATAAAACATTTCATCAAAATCTAGCTTTAGGAATTGTATTGTACAAGTAATTAGTGAATCGGACCCTAATTATAATTATACGAGCAAAAGAAGAGAAGCTTATCAATAGAGATTATAAATTATTTACACAACCACTACTGCCAAGTCGCCAACGCCTTTAGTGAATCAATTCATCAAAAAATTTCGATTTTATGACTATTTTTTTTTTAGTTGTTGAACAGAAAAGGAATTTTGCATTTGGTTGTGCGGTAAGTACTCTCTCCGTTATATAATATTTGATACAATTATCATTTTTATCCGTCTTAAAACAATTTGACACGTTACTAAATATAGAATGGGATCACTAATAAAAAAAATAATTTTGTTATACTCTCTTTTGAACCACAAACCTCAAAACCTAATTAAATCCTACATTTTCTCATTCTTCACTACCCCACCTCTCCCACTTTTTATTTTCTTACAATACAAAAGAGAATCCTTTATACTACCTTCGTTAACAGTTATTTGATACGATTTGACATAAAGTAGGAAGGAAAAATGTCTCATCGTTGCAAATAACTATTAACGGAGGTAGTATAATAAACAAACTAGAGTGCAGCCGGGCGTTGCACCAGGTTACCACTTTGATTAAATTGTTTCTTTATGAAATATATTTTCATCAATTATGTATGTTATGCATAATGTGACTAATTAAAAAATAGTATCGAAAGACAATTTTTAACACTCTATTGTTTGAGAAATGTTGATTTTATTCCTCTTAATATATATTTTTTTCAACTACTAATCTCGTTTTTCCTTTTATAGTTATATTTATTTGTATAGATGACATGAATTATTATTAGCTAAGATGGTATGGAGTTAGATCTTGTTTCCTCGAGGTCTCGTGTTCGAAATCCAACAAATGTTCATAGTAGAAAAGTACTTGTATATATGTTATAAAAACCAGAAAGTCTAATAGGGACTTTTGGTGAGCATTAGGGGCCGGGTGAGAAAAAATCTGGGTACTTTTAATCGAAAGAAGTTCCGATTCTAGCAAAATGGAGGAACTGTTGCAACAGGTTCCAGTTCAAGTTCTTAATTTTTTTGGAGCCGGAACCTGTAGGGTACCTTGTAACCTGATAAAAATACCACTTAATAAGTTCAAAGTATAAACCAATTCTAACTTAATTTTGTAAATAATAATATCAAAATTACAATTATAAATTGATGTTTAGTGGGAGCTATACAGTTTTCTTGGTGTAATACAAAGAACGATTGTTCATTGTTTGAAGGGTCAAGTGATGGCTAATGCATTTTGTATGAAAAACCTTGAAGAGGAAGATGAGTACAGTTGGGATTCAAGCTCTATAAAGATAGGTTTTGAAGGATTTTTGAGCTTAGTTAAGAAACTTATATTGATAATATTATGAGGTTCAACATTATATTGAGAAGAGTTTCAATCCCATATAACATGGCACGTCGCTTAAAGATAGATTCAATGCTTTGAGAAAGGTTAATGAAGTTAAGAGTTTGTGTGATGCTCCTTGTGTATTTTGCAAAGGATACATCATGCGTGACATTGACTATGCTGGTCTATTTGATTCACATATTTTAAGAACAAGTGATGATAGATTTCAATCGAAAACAAATTTAACATTGGAGTACAAATTAGAAATTCCTAAGTCCTTGCGAAAGGACGAAGGAAGATTCTTAAAGTATGAGATGAATATTATTATAAGATTTTAGAAGTTGCAAAATTCATATTTATGAGATTGTTTCATGAATTGTACTTACAACCCCTTCCATGACCAAGGTATGAGAGTTATGCTAAGGTTCTTAGATTGAATCAAGTTATGTAATTTAAGTTGTGTATGTTTTTACATATCACATAAGTAATACATCAACTTGCAGAATTATGTCTAATCAGAAATTTATTATTTCTCTTATTAAATTATGATTTTGATTTTAAATGAAATGTCCAAAAATAATTATGAATTGATGAGCTCATCAAGTTGATGACTTGGTGAATGAAACCCCACAGGTGAACTAAATTCATACATTATTTAAGTTCCTAGTTCGAAATCATTAAATTGGACATAAACGATTTCAATAAATGGACTAGCATGTAAGATTGATTGGATAGCGTAGTTTCATGGGCTATAGGGACATAGAGATGCTCGGTCAATCACTTTGATATGCATGAATGATGCATGATCGAACTATAGACCTACTTTGAAGTTCAAGTATAGAGCTTCAGGATATATTAGTGGAATCCTTTGACATTAGTGGAACATTGATTTCATTCAATGATTGATTTAATTGTGGTAAAACGTCGTGCCGTAAAAGGAGGCTATATATAAAGGATGTTTCCCGGTTACTTCAAGAATTGAGTAGGAGCTTTATTGGTTGCCACAAGACTGGATTGAGTCTGCCTATTTAATTAGGAATGTGTCATGGCCCCTTGAAGAGGGAGAATTCAGAGAATACGTAGCCGTGCCCAAATGTATTACTCGGTAATCATTTGTTTTGTAATTCTAACTCAGTTTTCAAGAAATTATTTGTAGATTAATATGATCTCGACATGTGATGCAATCATATTATTAAATCGACACATATTGACTTAAGGAATTTGAATATTGCGCACTTGTCTCAGACAAGTGGGAGACTGAAGGAATTATGTCTTCGTCAAGTGCAATTACTAGATGTATCAAGGATCGATGTCATAGAGATAATTAGTTCATTCTTGTGGGTCGTCATTGTCTGTTGCTAGATATGATAAATGATCATATGAGGTCACACACATGAGTATTGGATTGAAAAAGTGTGAGGCCCATCAATGGGCCGCATGAGGCTATGAAAAACCATGTAAGGGGTTGGGCTAGAGTAGTTAGAATAGAGTTAGGAATTGGGCTTGACATGGACTCTTATTTCTAGATATGATCTATAAATAAAGTCCATGCCTAGGGTTGACACGAGACACAATTAACAAGTCAATGAATTGTGAAACAAGGCAACCTATTCCCAAAACCCTAATCTCTTTATCTCCTCCTTACGCACGCCCTTCCCCTTTCACAAAACCGCACGGCCGGTCGCCCCCTTGGTGGTTCGTGGTGCTCGTCGTGGTGGATCGTGCAGTGGTAAGTTTGTTCCCCTCTTCTCCGTAAAAGGTTGATTGAAGGGTTCAATCACAAATAACAAGCATTAGTGGAGGTCCAATTTGTACTCGTGGACTAAGTAGAGGAATCAGACTTGGGGTTCTTGATCTCCTTATTGATCTTACTCGATCACACGTAGAATCACGCTTTCAAAGGTGCAATTCTATATTCTTTATGTGTTATGCATTGATCTTGGTTGTTAGATGGTTATGAATATGATTCATGCAATTTCCGCTTAGTGCATCTATAGTCCTACACATTA